TTATTATTATTATTATTATTATTACTATTATTATTGTTGTTGTTGTTATTAATACTGTTATTGTTATGTTAGGCAAGCAACACAAAAGGTGCTTAGAAATAAGGTGAGATTAAGGCGAGAGGCACTTAAAAGCTTAACTAGAGATAAAATGCAGAATTTGAAGTGATATTATTATTTATTCATTCAAATAAGCAGAATAACAATAACACTAGACAGTTCAATTCACACACATACATCTATTATACAACGGATACGTATTATTTTGCGTGTTTGCTTAGCATCAAATTACTTCTCTTTTCACATACCTGAAAACTTTTGCGTTTGATGCCTACGGAACGTTCATAATAAGTATTTATATTATATATAATAATTATTATTATCAATTATGGTTGATTATGTGAACGGATAGCACTAGAAGGCTAAAATATAGCAGCAGCAGCAGCAGCAGCTAGTGTTGTTTGTTTCGAGCGAGCTAGCGAGCACCAAATGGGCCGTATCGCCGTGCCGTGCCTGCCGTTCGTTACCTGATTAGTCGGTTATCATAGAGCAGCCATAAGGAATAGGCGAGCGAACGCAGTTTTTTATCAGTAGTTGATTGGAGTGCGTTCTGAAAGGTGTAGCCATTGTTTCGGGCTGTAAGCAACCTGCCAGCAGGCTGTAGCCGGTTTCTATGGCGCCGAGCCTGGAGTAGTCTACGGAAAAGAAGATTGAATTGAATTGAACTGAATTGAATTGAATTGAAAAAGAAAGTGAGCGTTTAAGGTGACCCTAATGGGCCTGACAATAGTGATCTCGTACACACTGTTCTGGATGCCGTTTTGGATAGTGACCTGGTCGATTGTACTCGAAGCGAAATGGGCCGTTTCACCGCTGCTCGAGCCGCTCTCCTATAGCAGTTACGCACTGCAGTACATCAACTCGGCTGTGAATCCATTTCTGTACATGTTCCTGACGGATACTTTTCGACAGAAAGTAGGTCTTATGTATCGTCTCGTCTCTGTTTACTTTTAAATCAGTATGTGATGATAGTTTATTTGGGTAAGTGATTTAGTTGGGTAATTGGCGATCAACGCGATGCCGACTTGAACTGCAACGACAACCCTCTGAAAAGACGCACATGCTGCTCTCAACGTCAAACACACTCGCGTTGAACGCCAAATTAAATGAGACCTTCCGTGGCAGTGATAAAAGTCTGAACAATGCCACTGCCGCCGCCACCACAACACTGGATGACGACGACTCGCTGGCCAGGGACGATTACTTTTTATAAGGTTATATAACTGTATCACTTTAAGTAATTGTTGTTGTTTATGTTGTCACTATGATTATTATTGTTGGTGTTGTTATATATACAGAAATAGTAGAAATAAATCATATCTAGGTGGAATAATTTGCATGAGAAATAATACTGCTGCTGTTTTATTTGTAATGCAAAATGTTAACGTTAGGATTTTAATAGATGTTTGAGATAGATAGATAGATAGATAGATAGGTATTGAAATGTAATCAGTCATATCTAGCTAATGAGTTAGTTGGCTGCTGCATTCAGTGTTCTAATTTTAAAATTGAACTTGGAGTGAATTTGGCCTGTATAAATTGAGACGTATAGTTTGAGGCAGTGGTCACAATTGTGGTTTGTTAATTGGTTTGTTTGAATTGTTGATTGAGCAGTAATTTATCTGAATATACATGTGTTTATGTGTGTGTGTTTATGATTAATGATTACATTATTGTTTTACTTATTGTTTTGATTGAATTTGAATCAGGGCATTATCTCATATCCGTTATTGGCCGATCTCATTAAACCGTTTAATAATTAGTATGATTCTGAGTGCTGCTGCTGCTGCATTAAATCAAGTTTGAGTGTTTTAATTTCAGTTGAATATTGTGATAAATGTTATACTGCAAGGTAGCAGTGATCATCGTATTTGCACACTGGACAGCGTGTTGTTATTTTGACATGTGAATTTATGTGATAGTGAATTGTTTTGATTTGTTGTTGTTTAGTTGAGTGGCTTTTATTTATTATAGGTTTGAGTTGAATTCAAATAGAATTTGAGTTAGAGTGATAGATAGGTAGGGTTATTTGAAGAATTATTGATATTGAAACGATGGTTTGAATAGTTGACGATCATGGTTTATTGTGCTGAAGGGATGGTAATTGAATGGTTGAGATTACAGGTTAAGAGGATAGCAAGCAATATTTGGAGGTGTCCAGGGAAATTAAAGGAGTGCTGATGTACTGCTAAGAGGGATTAGTGAGTGCGTGATGGCGATGGTTCAGTACGAAAATTGAGTTGTCTTCATTAAGTGCCTGCTGCTGCTGCTTTTATTCGTTCGTCTGTTTATTTATTTATTTGTTTGTTTGTTTGATTATTTATTCAGTTGTTTATTGAAGTGAGTGGCAAGCACAGAAGTGTGATGAATTAGAGTGAATGAAGTGAGCTGATGGATGACGGTAGATACCCTCTGATTGCGAGAGCGTATTGCAATTGAGAGAAAATGAAATTTGCCGGAAAATTCATTTTGAAATTGAGAAAAAAAAATCAAAATTTCCGAAAGTTTCATTCAAAAAAAAACGAATTGACGACGGATGGTGGTGGATACCGTTGTAGCGATCGATCTGCTGATGTGGATTGATTGATTGATTGATTGTGTGCTTCGAAAGTGTTTATTTGAAACTCAACACAAAGATCACCGTATACGAAATATTATATTTGTGAGGTGATATCCAGTCCAATAGGCGTAAAAGAAAATGCACTACTTTTCGGCAATTCCATATAACACTGCTGAAAATCGATTCTCTTCTAAATCAGTGAAAATTGATCGGTTTAGATCAACTTTAGTACTAATTAAATGTGAGTATTCAGTGGCGGGCGTTATTCGCGGATGATTCAGATTGAAAATGGCATTTGGATGAGCACTGAAAATTCTGGCGACGACAGAATGTCTTTCATATGTCTCGCACATAAAATGGCTCGTCTACGACATGTCGTCTGTCTTTCGTATTGAATCGTACGTATGTAATCACACGATTTAATCCTAATCCTGGCCCACTACATTATTCGCATATTATACGGGTTTCATATTAAAAAAAAGCTTTTGGATAACGACCGCTTTAACGATTTTCGAGTTTCGAGTTATTACATTTCAATGGATGGTTGGTTGTATGGTGTGCTTGAAGATCCGAGTGGATCTTGCGACGCGTTTGCTTGCGACGACGAACTATTGCGAAATTGCGAACCTAGTTGGATTATTTGAATATTATGCTGTTGAATTTTACGGGGTGTGTCTACGACAAATGCATCCGGACTACGACAAATGCATTCGGGTCTACGACGAATCCATCCGGTCTACGACAAATTTTGTATAACTCGGACAAAAAGTAGCACCCTGCCTGCCTGCTACTCAATCATAAGGCATGCGCAAATTGTCGTAGGCATCAGTGGCGCTTTGTCGCAGACAAAATTGTCGTAGACGAATTTCAATGATAGGTGCATGAGATAGCAACGATGTATATGTATGTATGTATGTATGCATGCTTAGAACTGAATTTTTAACGGTGCCAAATTGTTTCGTATTCAGCTGATTTGGTGAGTGCGTTATTAGTTTGAATCGTTTAGACGCAGATAAAAATTATTTTCGGAGAGACCACTGAAGGGCAGTGTAAAAATTTGAGAAATTTCGCTTTAAGGTTGTTGTTTGGTTATTAAAAAGACTGTGCTCAGACAGATCTGACGGCACACACAGCAGCTGCTCTTTTAATGAGCGATAATACGAGCACAACAAAAACTACAAGTATGAGTGAAAGTGAGAAGTCATCATCAGCAGCTCAGCTCCGGAGTTCGAAAGAAAGTCGCCGAAGTGGAGCTCTAGTCGGAAGTGCTCTAGTTAGTGCCACTAGCAACGAAGCAGCAGCAGCAGCAACAGCAGCAACAACACTACCCTCAGGCACAGTCACATCATCCGGTGGAGGATCATCAAGAAGACGTTTTACAGGTACGGAAATGGTTTCGCGTCGTTTTATTTCTTTCTTCTAAAACGCCGCTTATAATTGTCGCTGCAGGTGATATCTCATCGTGGAGTTCGGCTGGGAGTGCCTCGAAAAGACGTCGTTTCGGCGATGGTGATTCGAGGACTGCAGCAGGTCTGGAAGCAACTTCTTTACCGTTCTTACATGGTGGTAACATCAAAGATCCACTGAATTTGAAGTCAGTGCAGCCAATCGATGAGAATGAGATCATGAAACCGTTAGAAGTGATCATACCGAAGAATATTCACGATCCGTTGAACCTTCGCAATATCACCAAAAATCGTAATAAAAGGTAGTGAATGATTTCAATCATTATTGATATTTTTGTTGTTGGCATATAAGTTTTCTGTCTTACAATTATACCTACCTGCTCAACTAAAACAACTGCGACAAACAACCAAATTTTTAATGCGAATAATTGATTTAATCCGATTTTGTGCAATCCGGAAGATATCATTGTTTATTGTTGCAATTAACGTTAGCGCACTATTTTGGTTATATAAATATGGTATGCAGAAAAAGACGGAACAGCAAGCAAGGTGAATGTTTGGAAAGTCCACCACCGGCACCGCATTCGGGACCGGTTGGAGTTGGTGCTACGGAGGCCGAGGAGCATCGCCGACGATCGAACACAATCTCGTCTGGTTCCATATCGTCAGAGCATTATCAGCAGCACCCGACCGCTCATCACCATCAACAACAGCAACAGCAGCAGCGAAACAACTCAAACAGCTCTGACCCAATCGTATCACCCGTACCTGCGTCTGTTGTGGTTTGTTGTGCTGATCATTGTAATCTTTGTAAAATCGATTCAAAGCTGGCCTCTTAAATGCGATAATCAACGAACGTTTCAGCGTAAGTTCTCGTTTGTGACACCGCAAAAGAAGCTGTCATCTGAAGGCGGCAGCACATCAACACCAGCACCCTCAACAACACCGCAAACAACGCCAACAAAGCCTAAAGCTGATAGCAGCAGCATCCAGCAGCCGCAGCAGCAAGACGTTAATGAATCGTTATCAAAAGACAGTAATCTCGATTCACAGCAAGGGTGCTCTGGTGGTGCTCCTTTGGTACTACCGTCATCATCCAATAACGATGACATCAGTGATAACGTTACCGATTCTGATAATATTCAGTCAAAAACAGTACTACATAATAGTGCTGCTGCTGCTGCTGCTGCTGCTGCAAGCAACGTGGATCAGAAGAAGAAGCAAAAAGAAAGGTTTGTTTTCATGGGGTTCATGGTCAATGCTTATTGCTGGTGTACATTTTTAAAAGAGCGGTCAGTTTCACGGCTGAAAGCTGCTTAAGAAGATTAAGATGACTGCTGACAGTAGTGATTAAGGTTTCGTTACGGTAATTTCAATCGTTACTATGGAACGAGACTGGAGAGCGGTATGAAGCGAGATCCGCGTATAGAATTGATGCACAAAGAATGGTTCGAAAAGAAGTCTGTATTGGATATCGGTTGTAATGCTGGTTATATAACGTTGACGATTGCGAAGGACTTCGAACCGAGGCATATCGTTGGTATCGACATCGATGAGCATCTGGTTGGAGTGGCCAGAAAAAATATTCGGCATTATTGTGATTATGAGACGCAGGTGAGGTGCTGCTTCATGTTGTTTTTGTGTTCTGAATATTAATGCTGATAAATTGAAGATGAGCGGAAGCTTCCCAGCGTCATTCTCGCGTCGTTACGGTCCAATCTCATTGCATTCAACGAAATTTTCAACGAAATTCCCCGATAATATTTGGTTTAAACGTGAAAACTATGTGTTGGAGAATGATGAATGTCTTGAGGAGGTAAATTTTTGAAATTTTTTTGCATAAGTTTTCATTTTTGTTATGTTATAATACTATGATTATTGTATGGAGATAAGAATTAATAATCAATCAGATACACGAAGAATTCGATGTGATAATGGCGTTAAGTATAACGAAGTGGGTGCATTTGAACTGGGGCGATGCTGGTTTGAAACGATTCTTTAGACGTGCATTCAAAGAGTTACATCCTGGTGGTCGCTTCATCCTAGAGCCACAAGCGTTTGATTCGTATCGAAAACGTGCAAAATTAACGGTTAGTTTCTATTGTGCATATTGTTATTATATTGCCGCTTGTTGGAAGATAATATACGTGAGTAGTAACTGACAAGTATTTCAGCCGGAAGTATTGGAGAACTATAAGAATATAAAGTTGTTGCCGGATGCATTTCATCAGTATCTTTTGAACGAGATCGGTTTTGAATCGTGTCAAGTATTGGATCTACCGAAAGCGAAATCAAAGGGTTCGTTGCGAAATAATTTGTTGTTTGAGTTGATTATTGTTTGTGAATGTGATTGGATTGTTTAGGTTTTCAACGTCCAATTTATGTGTATCGAAAGAAGACGTCATCGAAACTGAACTGGAAATCTAGATCAAATAATAATAATAAGTCTAAAAACGAAATATCGGCAACGGACTGCAATAACGAGCTGCTGAATACGACAGAGGATTAGATTCAGTGGATAAAGTTTGAAGGAACGGTTTGTTGTCGTTGTTGTTGTTGTTTAAACGATATTGAATTGGAGTTTAAAGAATTGTTTGTGTTTGTTGTTGTTGATCACTATTGATTTGATTTGGTTATCGGAGAGAATTTGCTTGGTTGAAGAATTCGCTGAATTGTAACGTGTTAACAGATGCGTGCTTATAATATGAGATGAGCAGACAGGCAGCATTACAAATAGAGCAGAGCTCGTCGGCAAGCACCGGCCCGTGGGCTAAAATTGGCCTCGGCCCGCTGACAGTGTTGAATTTGGCCGGTTCGGTCAGGTCAGATGAATTTGAGGATTTTAAAGGGATAAAAAACGAACAAGAAAGAAGGTTTTAAATAATTTTGGGTATTAGACGGAAAACTTTTTATTTTTCATAGAATTTTCCAGATAGAAATGGACGACTGAATGTGTCGCATCTATATATATATATTGTGTACGATGTTGGTCGGGCTGTCTGTAGAGCTCGGAAAAATTTTGTTTTGTTGCCTATTTGCCGTCTGCTGAAATAGAGAGAGAGCGTTGTAGTTGATTGAGCAGCCGACTGGTGTTGTTATATTATAATTGTTATTGTTGTTGTTGTTGTTGATATTTGGAAAGAGTTTTAAATTGTTTAGTGTTGTGCGCGGTGCGTTTAATTGGAACTTTTTGGCGTGTATTTGATGTGTTATGTAAATTATTTTGGTTATTTCTTTTGCGAGACTGAAAATAATTTTAATGCTGCTTGTTATTTATTTGCATTGTTATAGTTACATTTCATTGTTATGTAATATTATCACCATTGTTATGATTTTATTATTATTATTATTATTATTATAAATATTATCGTTACTACTGATATAATTGTTGATGGTAAATATGTTGAACTGGTTGAAATTGATCTTTTTTTCATTTCATTTCATCTGAACGATTCGTTGCGTAAACGAACGCAAACACGTGTTCCCTGTCATGTTTTCTTGACGTTGCATATAATTGTTGTTTGATTTAGAGGCAGACTTTGGAAATCTTAGGAAGAAAATTCAAATGTAAATGGAAAAAAAAATGTGTGTGAAGATGTAAATGTTCCGAGGAGTGTAAATAAAATAATTTGAATTTTCTGTTGCAAATCAATCGGATTACCCGCAAAAGTTTTTAAGGACTAGACAAGAGGCATATATATCTGTACGAATGGTGAATGTGACGAATGGAATGTGGTGGTGGTGGTGGATGAATGCAAAATAATATTTTGGTAACTTGAGGACGAGGAGATTGTTTACCCGGGAAACGGGATTGGTAAAATTGGTGGTGGTAATTGTTTGAAAGAAAAAATTTGGATTTGCCATTTGCACGGCGGCGACGACGACGATTTGCGATATGTTATGTGGTGCTGAGACGGCGGAGGATTTGTTTCGTTTAAAGAATATACAATTCGATAGCAAAAAATGTTTAGCAACAAATGAACAGGCAGGCAACGTTTTGTGTTATTTTGTTTGTTTGTTTGTTTGGAAATTTGGTGGTTAGCTAGAGGGTGTTATGATTAGCGAGTAATATTTAGTGGTGTTATGGGTGGGTGGATGCAAGGAAGTTGGATAGTTAACGAAGAAATTTGCTGCTGCTGGTGGTGGTGCTTGCGTTTTGGAGAATCATTGTATTTGAGTGATTATGAGATTCGGTGTTCCGGTGGAAATTCGACGAATTTCACTGATCACAAGTCGTTGAAATCATCGATACCGTCGGATCGATTCGACGATATCGGCAACTTTCGCTATCGATTCGACGATATCGGCAACTTTCGCTATCGATTCGACGATATCGAATATCAACGATCGAACATCGATTGGTCACGATGAATAATATGTTTTCAGTTCATAACGTTTACATATTCATCTCTATTTCAGATAACGTGCATTGATGGTTCATCGAAATTTTTATACTTTGGTACGTCGAACGGCGGCGTCGTTCGTGTTGAGTTGCAAGAAAGCCATAAGAAGGAATGCAATTCGGGCAGTGGCGAAACGAACGCGAATGCTGCCGAAACAACATCATCGACGATCGTCGTCGACGATAACGCCGAAACAGTGAGCTGTGCAGTAGTACTTGACTTTATGCAGTTGCCTACAGTGAGTTTATTTTTTTGATTGTTCACTTGATTTTGAATTTATTGTTTGGTGATTGCATCATGCTTTCAATTGATAGATAAAGATTAGCGCATCATTTCAGAAATCTGCAGTGACTCAGTTGATTGCGGTGCCAGCCGTGGACAGTTTAATCGTGTTGTCGGCATCGAAATTGTTCTATATCGATATTTTTACATTGCAGGTTCGTGCTATTTTTATCTGTTTCTTCTTGTTCACTATGTAAGCGCGACTAGAAAGAAGGGTAAATTCTATTATATGTGTTGATTGGTAGATCGATCAGCGATTGATCAGTTTGCAGATTCAATCAGCGAGTAATTCATCGAATGTGGTTTGTCTGTCGTTAAATAACGACCCTCTGACAGACGATCCGTTCACGTTACAAATGGCATTCGGCACCACCAATCGTCTGTTATTGGTCGGTGAAAAGAGTATGAGCAATACGATGACGAATCCAGCTCAGGGCACAGGCTCAGGCTCAGGCTCAGTGTCTGCTGCTGCTTTCAGTGCTCTTAAAGGTTTGAGTGCATTCAGCGCAGTCAGTAACTTGTTATGACTCATTATAATGACTTTATAATTAAGGATCCGTAAGCAGCAGTAGCAGCGCATCGTCGTCGAACCTATCAACAACACTAATCAAGCAACGTTTCCAAGCGAACGCTATCATTCAAACGTTGTGTTATAGTCGTGAATGTATTTGTTATGCAACTGCAAATGAATATTTCGTCTATAATTTAAACGGAAACATTCATTTATCGTTATTTCCATACGATTCAACGCTTGTAAAACCGTTGATTTTGAATATTGATACGGTGAGATGAATTGAATTGTTTATTAATTAATAGTGAATGAATAATCTGATTCAGTTTATCACCTGCATTGGCAAGCAGCAGCAGCAGGCTGTCATCAAACGTTTATAACGTTGCTGTTGGCCACAATGCTCATGTTTCGTGCACATTGTTTTAGCCCTCAATTCACGCCACCCGCTGGCTAGTAGGCGAGCAGACCAAGCGAGTAATTAATTAGTTGAGAGCCGTGAATACTTTGCATAATTAAACGTTGCAGTCAAATACCAAATAATCTTTACTCGAATAAAATAAATATTCTGCCGCCGATCGCTCACTGGGAGCGATTCCGCTGACGAAACAAGCACTCGATATCCGAGTAATAATTAATAATCCTCGGAATTCAGTTTACAAACAAGTGAAATTACAGATTCAGTTTAACAAATTTGATGTGTGTGTATGTGTCGTTGTTGCAGGAAGAATTTTTGGTGAGTAGCATGCATGGACTGGCAGTATTTGCAAAATGCACTGGTGTCTCATCAAGACCTCCGTTGTGTTGGGGTAGTGATGCAGTATTAGGCAGCGCCTATCATTCACCTTATATATTCGCCTTTACCGAGCAATCGCTACTTGTGTTCGAGTGAGTTTCAACGGGTGATCGATCATTTTATTGATCCAACCAATCAACCAACCAACCGTTCTGCGGACGTTCTGTTCTGTTGTTGGTTTGCAGATGTAATGAAGGTGTTGAAGTGTGTCGACTGAAGTTGCACGATGCAACACTGCTCAGTAATATTGATGGACGTATATATATTGGTTATAAGAACGCGAAACTATTCATCGTCAGTCAGATTTCGTGGCTAGAACGAGTTGGTTTTATTCGAATAATCTCGAATGTCGTACTCGAAGTGATAGTAGTTGTAGTAGTTAAAAATAAATAAAATTAAATTCAAAAAATAATTCAAGGCAGAGACTCTGCTCAGTAAAAGTTGCGTAGATGAGGCGCTGAAATTCGCAGAACAAAGTGTATTGGAGGCATCATATGATGAAGCGGAGATATTGGTTAGTTGATTTGAACTATTCGTATTTGAATTTGCTTCCAATAAATAGGATTGTATCTGTTCGATAATGATATCAAGAGAGCGACGAAAATATTAATGTTTTTTTGAAATGTTGACTCGTTAAAATATTTTAATGATTTGATCAATGCGTAATCTTTACGTGTTCAATTCAGTTAAATGTGATCTGGACGTAATTTTAGAAGTTGAATGAATTGAAACAAAAAATTGCGTTAGCGTATTTTGCTGCTGGTCAGTTTGAGAGGTGTTTCGATGTGGCTGTTTCTTGCGAAATGCATCCCAGACAGGTAATAATATTTTACCTGGATTACCTGCATTGACAAGCAGCAGCAGCAGGCTGTCATCAACCGTTTGTAACGTTGCTGCAGGCCACAATGCTCACGTTTCCGTTCGCACTGTTTTAGTCTTGATTTCAGCCACCCGGCTGGCTAGTAGGCGAGCAGGCCAACTGAACACAACCGAGTAATTAATTAGTTGAAAGCCGTAAATACTTTGCATAATTAAACACTGTCGTAGCCAAATACCAATCATCCAATAAATAGTCAAAACTCTAGAAAATAAATATTCCGCCGATCGCTGCTCACAGCGATCAACAAAACAATCGCTCGATGCGCAACTAACCAGTAAAATCCCATTCAATCCCACAGCATAGAAATATTAAATGTTTTGAGTAGTAATGATAACGCTTTCCTTTTAACAGATACTCATTCATTATGCTCATTTGGAACTACCGTCGTTTGGAGGCATTTGCAATTTGGACAGTGATTGCACAGCAATTAAATTGAGAGACGAAAGCAGAACGAAGCCGTCTGATTCGATGGAATATTTGAATTTTTTGCTGCAATATCTGAGTGAAATACGAAAATTGTATTGGACAAAGGCGTATCGCAAGGTATCGCAGTTAATTAATTGTTTATTGTTACGGAATGAAGCAAGCGCAAAGTTGAAGCGATGCGATAAAGGATACTTCGAGGATGACACAAAAAAGTTGTGGCTTTCATATATCTATCAATCGTGCTCTATCAGAACTCTGGTTTGCAGGATTTGGACAATGTTTTGGTGTGTTTATTATCAGTTAAGCATGATAATGATACTGATAGTGATAATGGCAAGATAATGCCGCCAGCACAGCAGATGCCAGCGCAACTTGAGTGTTCATTAAACGACTGCAAAGAGTGGTTAATGAAACGAAACAGTTTCTTGTTCTTCGTGTTGTTAGCGTTTCATTTGGATGACTTCAAAGAAGCGTTCGGCACATGTCGAGAGCTTTTCCGAGAATCCAAGTTGACAACACGTTTACACGAATTATGCATGGAAAATCTGTCGAAGTTAGTCATTTATTTAGTTTGGTGCTTTTATTTTAGTTGTTCACTTACAAGGCAAGGTCACGAACTTACCGCCACGTTTCGGGATGAGATATATATACCATGTTGTAGATCTCGTCGAGCTGATCACGAATATGTAAAGTAATTTTGCAAAACATGAAGGAGAAGCGAGATATAAGGGGAAAAAAATTTCACTGTATTGGATTATCGTTTTGAATTTCGGCTGGTCAGCAGCGGCATGGCTTAGTGGGTAGTGCGCTAGCACAAAGTCTAGATGCTGGGTGGTTCTGTCCCGCGCGCTGCGGAAACTTTTTTCTCAAACATTTCTAGCATGTTCAAACAACCGTGATACTTTGCTTCACTCCCCACAGCTTTTTCAAGTTGTGGGTATATTCTTGTTTTATTTTTTTGTTTTGTTAGCATCTTAGTGATGACTACTCACATTCGTTGCTGCTGGGCTTAGATCTATCCCGGAATTGAGGTGAGTTAAAGAGGCGTGAGCAGCCAGCCGCACAGCTGAGGCTCATTCATAGCACTTTATTTCTCCCGTTCCTGATCAATAGATCCATTAGATTATGTAGGCGGCCTGGACTGCTTGCCTGCCTGCCTGCCTTGTCTGCTCGAAAAAGATCACAAATATGGATGATACTAGTATATTGATTTTCAGATGGATTGGATATATTTCAATTGTATCATCTGCTTTTTGTGATTATCTTAGCGGATTTTTGAAAAAAAAGAAAGTTTAGTGAAATCATTTCTAGGTGAGGTAGGTATCTATCAATCACCCATCGTAACGATTCAACAACGAGTAAACTGATTCAGCAATTAAATGATATAATTTAGAATTGAAGTGTTGTGCTGTGCTAAAGAGGTGACGGCGCCTTACTTTTCAGAGTTAAAGATGCGAAAATTTTGCTGGATGCATTGCAATTTTTAATTGAATTCGATCCCAGAACGAGCGTAGAATCACTGAAAAATATTCAATACGTGGATTATGATCGCGTTGAAGTGATGAAGTATCTGGAACCGTATCCAAACGAGTTGATTCTGTTTCTGGAGCAGAAGAAACCTTGTTGGCAAGTATGTTATTGGTGCTAGTGAACATGGTTATAACGGCACTTTTTTACTTTGGACGGGTCGCACGCGAGCAAGCTCGCGCATGCCACACCTACTGCGCATGGCTTCAGCCCAAACGTAGTCTCAGCCTAAGCTTAAGCCTAAGCCTGAGTTCGCTTACTAGCCTCTGCTGTAGCATCCGGCGATCTGAGGCTACGCTTAGATGATGAGGCTGAGGTCACCTTAGGCTGAGGCCATGTGCAGTAGGCGGCGTGGCATGCGCGAGCTTGCTCGCGTGCGATCCACCCAAAGTAAAAAAGTGCCGGTTATAAGAAGGTGTTCGTTCTAATAGTTGTGATGAAGTGTTTTGCAGATTGAGCAATTAGACACAAAACTGACACAGCTCTATATTGATGAGATAGTGAAATTATCAACGAGCCACCAAAACAACGCAAATGAAGAAGAGAACTGCAAAACGGCGTTAAGAGAGTACCGAAAAAATTTACGCAATATTTTATTCGAATCGAATGTTTTGAATTGGTCACTAGTAACCAATCAAATGAGGCAACATTCAAGTGCTTTCGTTATCGAGAATCTACTATTGAAAGGGAAGGTGAGAGCAATATTGTCGTGATTGTTACCTGAATTACCTGGATTGGCAAGCAGCAGCAGGCTGTTATCAAACGTTTATAACGTTGCTGAGCACAATGCTTACAGGCCTCAATTCACGCCACCCGCTGGCTAGTAGGCGAGCAGGCCAACCGAACACAACCGAGTAATTAATTAGTCGCCATGAATATTTCGCATAATTAATCGTCGTAGCCAAATATCAATCTAATAATTAATTATAACTCCGATAAAATAAATATTCCGCCGCCGATCGCTCCTCACAGCGATCGGATCGGCAAAACAACCACTGGATGATGTCTGAGGTTGTTATTAGATAGGTTAATTTTATGTAATTTTGATTAGTTGGTGCAAAAATTTTGTTGATACGTAAGTTGAAGTTTAGTGTAGAGTAGAATTTTTTTTTGTGGTGATCAGAAGAATTTTGCGTTCAGGAAGACGCATCAGAGGAGTGTTTGGAGACGCTGTTGAATGAGTACGAAGACTACGATGCGGCTGAATTCTATTGTCAACGTATGCAAGCCCGTAACAAACGGCTGTTTCGTGTGCTGCTGAAAGCATATTTGAAAATTGTTAAGTAGGCATTTTGCTTGTTGATTTAATGATTTGATTTAATGAGTTCGTCAAATGAATCGTATACGGACGGCAGGCATTACAGAGCTGCCACAGCCAGCCAGCAGAGCCATTTCAAGTTGTTGTAGAGTTGCTAGAGCCACTTGAATGAATCAAAAAATGGTGGCGATGGATAGCTTTTTTTTTGAAGGATTAGACCAGAATTTAAGACGCGTATTGTACAAATGTTGAGTGCTGTGCATGAGACGGGTGATGAACTGGAAATAATAGCGGAATTTCCCGATGATTGGCCGCTGCAGGCGTTGGCTCCATTCGCTTCAAAGGCATTTTCATCGTACACGTATCGTTTACATTGTGATCAACTCAAAACAGCGGTTCGTTGTTGATTCGAGTTGATTCTTAGGCGTTTATCTTTACTCCAAAAATGAATGAACACACTTATTGTTGTTAGCTTCTGATGGATTGCCGATTGCTTTGCGCAAATGTTTTGTCCTTCCCTAACACAATAATTATCGTGACCTATCATATAATGCTGGATAGTACTCAAAAGAAGGTAGTACACTTGAATCAAATAAGAAACATCGAGCAAAGGGCAGATAGTATAGTGGTGTTTAGATGCTGGGCTTTGAGGATGCGATTGATGTGTGATTTGTTCAGAGGGCGTAAGTTCGATTCGATTTGATTCAGAACGCTTAGTCGGTTACGTATGCAAAATCTTTGACGAAAGTTTGATCTGTCATTAAAGGGATAAACAACACAAGAATATCTCAATATCTCAATTTAAGAGATATTCAAAAAAGGGCTTATTATGTCGATAAACAATAATATTGTATTGTTGTGTTCATTTGGAGGCATTATCACGTGCCATGCGACACCTCAACCAACAACTCGAACAACAGTGCAATGCAAAAGTGGTGATCGACGAGCACACCCGATGTGCCGTGTGCTCGAAGTTGATCGGTGCCGACGACACCGTGCTCTATCCACGCTCAAATGTGCTCATTCATCGCACCTGTATGAACACTCATTGCCCAAAAACATAGTAGTATTGTGCCCTCTTGATTGGTTGTTGTTCTTTGTGCATCGAATTGTTGTTATCTATCAGCAGCAGCAGCAGCAATCGGACACTGATGCTAGTAATTAATTAATGAGTTCAGACAGGTAATATTTCCACTCGATTGAAACACCTTGAAATGTGCAAATGAAGAGTAAATGAATCCGCTGATAAATTCATGACATGACATTCTCTTGCTTATTGTAATTGATTGTGTTCTTGTGTTGTTTATAGAATCGTTATTCTTTAAACAATGCAGCCAGCATCAGCCATGTTCCAATGAATAAAAGCTGCTGTGATCGGTGTGTTAAGTTGACTACTGCCTGCGTACGGCTGGCTGTTTTTCTGCGCTCTCCTTTGGCTTTCTTCAGCTCGAACCAAGCTAGATTATCAACCAGTGGGACTTACTGCTTTTAGCTAATTTTCAGCAAACGTGACCTCTGACCTAAGCAGCAGACTCGTTAGCAGCATTTGCGTTGAGTTACGGTGTTGTTTTGCGTGTAAATTCGCGCTCATTTACGTGAAAATAATCATCAATCATTTGAAATTTGAAATGTGAGCGAAATTTTTTTTAAATGTTCGAAATTGGGCAGCGTGCCAACTGTGTGTGTTTTAGTTGCTTTGGTTTAAGATTTGGTTCCTGAGCAGATTCGAATTCAAACGATATTATTGGCGCACAGCCATCTTTGGTTGGCAATCATTTTCGGTTCGCGGCCACTATGCTTGGCGGCATTTCTCGTCGTATTCTTCTCGTTCTTCGGGGCACTGCCTGCTTTTTTTTCCGGCCTGATTTTAATTTTGCGGTATTTGGGATGGATTCCACGGGAGCGGGTGTCGGGTGACACTTGCAAAGAGCTCAGAAAGCCTTTTGGTCAGAAATGATGCGATAAACTCTGTTGCGATCATCATTCGCTACTGTCTTTGATGTAGACGACGACATTTTGGATCATTTTTATTGGCGTTATCTTTAAAATTAATATCATTGCCATTCGTCTTATCATCGCTATCGGTAGCGTTACCACTACTACCGTGGTTATGTGCTGCCGTAATTTCGACGTGTTTTTTAAAGTGTTGATTAATAATTTCGAGATATGATTTTTAAAAAAAAGAGCAACGGTATTGCTTTTTGTTAATATGAGATGTTTGATTTTGGACGTATAATATTCATGAGGGGCGAGCAGTTACTTGTTCTCTTTTGTGGTCGTCATTGAGTGGTTTGTGAGCGCGGTAGTGAGGCGACAACAAGGTGGTGTTTTAGCAGCAGTAGCAGCAGCAGCAGCAAGAACGTAGAATGAGTTCAAGAACATCGTCAAGTCCTGCATCGCTTCACTCCCATCCGACATCGACTTCAGTCTCTGTTGCTTGCTGCTTCCCGCCAGCCACTTCTGTTTCGTCGTCGTCGAATATCATCACCACATCATCGTCGAATACGAACAATCCTCATTGTTCGTTTCCTCATAATGGTGATCTTTGATTTCAAGTTATTCAGCTGGAATGCGCGAAGCGAATCTGGTTGTTGATGAATTAATCGTAAACCAATGAATTCAGTACGAGAAGAATGGAATCTTGTTTGTGCCGTGTGCCAACAATTATTTTTATTATGACATTACTGTGCAGTAATGTTTTCACGTTGCTCTCTCCACTAATAATCATTCTATATCAGCAAATCAACAGCAGCAAAAAGCCGCATCACCGGTCACACAACAACAGCAGCAGCAGCAGCAGTTTACGATTCGAACGGCGGCACCATTTCAACAGCAATCTGCGAACACATCTTATCCAACTATGAGCGCAAATGACAGTAGTAGTAGTAGTAGTCCAGCAGAGGCATTTTCGCGACTTTGTTTAGGCGGTGAGATCATTCAAGTGCCGACCGCAATTGTTCAACAAGTTGGTTTATAATTCTATTGCTCTTATCAATATGGCTGTTATCTTGAACATTAAAGGAGTGGCTGTTTCGTGCGGTTGTTACGAAGGACGCGTATCGTTCGTTGAGTGTTGAGGCACAAACCTATTTGAAGGTTGTTGTTGTTGTTGTTGTTATGATCTGACTGCTGTCTAAATGTCGTCAAATATTGTCGTCTTATTGTAGCGTTTTCTACCCAAATACGATGGTGCTACAGAGAAGGAAGATGAGGAGAAAATTTTGGATTCGGTCTTCACGAATGATCCGAATTTTTATTTCGGCAATCCGTTGGGAAAAATTTATTCGAAATTGCGTTGTAGGTTTTTTTTTTGTTTTAGTGGTTTATTTTGTTTTCGTGGCGGCGTTATCGTTATCATTATCGTTATTGATATTGCTATTCACATTAGTGAACTCTTATCAGATGAATTACCTAGTACTGCAGTAGCTGCAGCGGTTGCTGTTGTAGAGGGGAATTTTGTTTATTGTAGGTGGCTGGTTCAATCCAGAGCGTCCAGGAGATCAAGTGCAATTGAGGGATAATCGACGTGTATTATACGATCATTACATACGCTACTATCACATATCGTTACTGAAGAAGTTGTTGATATCACGTCGTGTGAGTTGTTGACTTATTATTGTTATGATTAAGTTTGTATTTAAAAAATTTGAAGAACTCACTCTTGCTTGTGTGATTGTTGTTGTTGTTGTTGTTGTTACATGTTTGAGTGCAAAATTTGGTTTGAAGAAGAGAAATTTCAGAAACTTTTGGAGCAATTCGCAACGTTAGGTGGCAATGAAGAGCCAACATGCAGTGCACCAGATAGCGCGCTGATTCGTAAGAGAAACACGACGACACGACTGAAGGCACGAGCCGAATACAGAACGAGACTGTAGGTTGTGTTAGTATTTTATTGGTTTATTTTTTGGTTTGTTTGTGTGGAATTGATTCAGTGAATGTTTTAAGAATGCTGGACGATGTGAAACGACGTGTCGACGACACAACACAATCGTCCGATGAGGAGTGTAAGTGCAGCAATTAATTCATTATTTTTGTGTGGTTGTTGTTGTTGTTGTTGCTATTGTCTTGAATTCACAGTATTCTTACGCATTAATAAATCTTGTCACTGTGGTCGTCTTAAATCTTGTCAAATGCCGTTAATAATTCTTGTTAGTAAAATCTTAATAAATCATGTCACTATTCAAATGTTGTCGTTGTCTATCATTGCCATCTGATCCTACATCCTATTGCATTCAATCACTTCTTAACATTCCAGCAAATAATTCCTCGTATTTAGCGCTGAAACTTCTATGTGAAAACACAGCGTGTTTTTGATACGTGAAAATATGTCAACAATTGATTCGTTGTTATGCGATATCAAACACACTTCACTTTTGACGGTGCATCGCAGTGTGCGTGCATTGTGTCTTGTAATGCGATCGTGAACATTAAATTAATATTAGCAGACGAAATTTCTATGAACGCGTTATAATTTTTTGACATAATTGAGTCCACAAGATGTTAAAGATTCCTCATACACCCCGAAATATTGAATATCTCATCTAAAATGGTGCTAAAACCCCGCGTT